CCGATTAGACTGATAAGCGATCCAAGAATGTTTAATCTAAAGGGGGGAGGGGGAAACATTGTACTTTGACGTTTTTCCAAGCCCAAGGTTCCCATCCATTTCTAGTCTGTCTTCATGTGGCAGGCAAAAGAAAGGGAATTACAGGTTTTCTTAGAATGTGTTTGCATTTAAAGCCCCAAATCTACAATAACATGCACATGTGCTTTTATTTTACTTATAAAAATAAAAAAAAAATCTTATTCACCTCTCCAGGCTTAAAAGTGGAAAGAGTTGCTCTGACAGTGCAAGTGTGCCGTGTTTTCCTACACAGGTGTTTTGCTTGCTCGCAGGGCTGACCTCGTTGCTCACTTAGGAGCTTTTTGAACGCATGGTGAACAATTCTTCTGCAGGCAGGTGGATGTGCTCTGTGCCTGCAGGCTGCACCTCCCCGGGCACTTGGAAATACTGGTTCTGTGTGCAGGATTTCATCCGGTCTCAGGCTGGATCTCATGGCTCCAGCGTCTGAGGCTGTAGGAAATGAAGTAACACGAGCGCCTGTCACATGTTTGCCCTTTCAGCCTCCCCTGGTGCTCAAAAAGCACGGGCTGGTTCCTACTGGCATCCTGCTTTAGCAGTGCCCTGGGTGATGCCCAGAACCAGCAGGTTGGGAAATTAATTACCTTGGCCTGTCTGTGCCTCTGAGAAAAAGCAGAGTGAAGGTCTGAGGCCATTGGAGTCTTTTCTCTCTGAGAGTTATGTTCCTCTCATTCAAATCTCCTGGAAGGTGAACAACTGGTAACATGGAAAGGTCCTTACCAGCTGAAGGCACGTTTCCATAGCAAGGCAGAAACCACCAGAGAGACGTCAGTGTGTCTAACAATTCGTAGTAGGCTTTGCAATACTTTGTCTCAGAGAGAGGGGTGGATAGCCAAGGATTTCATCTGAATGCACACCCCTGCTCCCTTGGGGCTGGCATTTTCTTAGCAGGTGAAATAGCCATAGTTGTGGCCAAGCTCTGTGTCAATTCTATCCTTTGTGCTAAATGTCAAGATGCAAAAGATTAGATAATTACCAATAGGAGCATTCTTTATATTGTTCATATTTCATGTAAGGACAAAACCATACAAAAATCCTGAAGGCTCTGATAAGAGATTGTATGGCTGCCTGGCCCCAGATCTGGGCACCTAAAAGCTGGTGTGCTGCAGGAGGTACTCCAACCTCCTGGTGCTGGTTCTGCCTCTGCGACCCCCTCCTGGCTCTGTTCTCCAAGTCTCCTGGGCTATTTCTTCCTCCCAGGCCAGCATCACCTGGGGTTTAGCATCTTTGCTGTGGGGCTAAATATTGGCCTCTTAGGTGCTTGCACTGGTGCTGGTTTGTACCCGGGGGCTCTGCTGGCAAAAAGCCGCTGCTCTGTGCCCAGCATCTTGTGACTGCTTATCTAAGGTCGTCTTTGTTCACGCTGCCCTCCTGTCCTGGTTTCAGTTAGGACATAGTTAATTTGCATCCTAGTAGCTGGTAGGGTGCTGTGTTTCGGATTAGGATGAGAGGAGTGCTGATAACACCCCGATGTTTTAATTGCTGCAGAGCAGTGCTTACACCAAGCCAAGGACATTTCAGCTTCTTGCTCTGTCCTGCCAGCGGGCAGGCTGGGGGTGCAGCAGGAGCTGGGAGGGGACAGACCCAGGACAGCTGACCCCAACTGCCCAAAGGGGTATTCCATCCCATCTGGGGTCATGCTGAACGATATATAGGGGTGGCTAGCTGGGGTAGGGGGTGGCTGCTCAGGGTTAGGCTGGGCATCGGTCAGTGGGTGGTGAGCAATTGCATTGTGCATCACTTGTTTGTACACATTAGTAGTAGTAGTACTGTATCATCATTATTGTTATTATTATTGTTATTATTTTTATTTTCCTGTCTTATTGAACTGTCTTTATCTCAACTCACAGGCTTCACTTTCCCGTTTCTCTCCCCCATCCCAGAGAGGGAGGGGGGAGGGTGAGCGAACGGCTGTGTGGTGTTTAGCTGCCGGCTGGGTTAAACACAACAGTCCTTTTGGCACCCAATGTGGGGCTCGAAGGGTTGAGATAATGACAGATCTGACCAGAGTGTGTTAAACTAAAATTGGTATAAGTATTAGACCTGCTTAATAGTTGCTAGTCACAGTGCTGATTGCTTTAATCTCAAGTCTGCTGTGCCTGTTTTCCAAATTGAGTTTAACAGCACGTTACCTACTGTATGTGCTCCCTGTCGTGCTGTTTATTCTTTCTGGGTCCTGGTTTAAGACAGGACAGATCTCTGGATGAGAATCCTACGTTGTTGTTTAGCCTTAAACAAAACCTGAAGTGCATTCAGGAGACATAACAACAAGAACATGTTGGTCTGAGTATCCCAAGGATATTCAATATCTTGGAGAACTATCATAACTAGCTCGGAGGATAAGAGGGCTGTGGAGGAGAAAGGGAGAGTGAACAAGTAGGAAAAAATATCTTCCCCTTTCCCCTCCACAGATTGATTCCCCAATGAGAAAAGGCAATAGATGTAATTGTTAATAGTTTCTGAGATATGGTTTCCAAAGTATAGAGTTGAGGACAGTGCTGAGTACAAATACCAGGTTAGAGTGGTGACCAGCAATTTCATCATATCATAAGCCACTGTTACACCGCACAGTACAATAACGATCTTAAACCAGGGCCCATCATAGAAAATTAACTCTGTCCTAACTGAAACCAGGACACCTCCCATTATCTCTGCCCAGCATAAATAATTCCCGTGATTTTGATACCTCCTGTATGTGTGTGTCAAAAACAAGAATGCAAAAAGACTGCTTGAAAAAATTGTGGACTTTGAATAGTGTTCATTTAAAGAAAAAAACACTAAGCAGAACACTTTGAGTTTTTTATATTTTTATTTTTTATTTATTTTTTATTTTTTATTTTTTATTTATGACTGCCATAAATGATTGTGGCAAAAGCATGAAATGCAAATTCTGAACGCTATACATGATGAATTACCACAGAACTTTGCATGGGGTGATGGGGAGCCTGAACTCTCTGGGTAGAGCAGAATGAAAAACCGAGTGATGTGCAAAGGATGAGACGTGGCCTTCATCTTCTGCTGTTTTCTGTTCTGTGCTTATGGTTCCTTTACAGCACTGCTAAAACGGCTCTGTTGCTGAGCAACAGCAAGCTGAAATAGCACCAGCTGGAGCAAGTCTGCCGATTTACACTGGTCATAAAGCGTGTCCTCTTACCCGAGTGCAGATTTCAGCAGGAGTGTGAAAGCCTGCCCTTGCCTTTAGCCCCTTGTGCTAGTGGCCTGCCCCCTGGGGCACATGTGGTGTGGCACACTATAAGATAACCTTTTTCTGAAGGGTTTGACAAGTAGTGAGGTGCAGCCCCTGGCCAGAACGGGCTCTCCTCTGTCCCCAGTCTACAGTCTGTGGCTTCCCTAGGGCTGCATCCTCGTGGTCTGGGCTTGGGGAGTTTTCCAGCCCTGGTTGCAGCACAACGCCCTGCCTTTGCGTATAGGGGAGTGTAACAAAGTATAAAGCAGTATAACGAGAAGTTGGAGGTTTCCTAAATATCAACGCTCCTACTTGGATTCCATAATTTTATTTCCCATTTTTTTCTTGGCTATTTATGTAATTTAAGAGAGAACCTCCCTTTGGAAGAGCTTAGTGATGTAAAATAGTGGCAAATATATACCCATCTCAAAGAGATACTGGTTTGTTTCCAAAAACAAACAAACAAAAAGCTCCACACAATATTATGTAGATATTTATCAATAAAGCACAGGAAATGGCATGCTTTGCAAGCAATCTCTGGAGCATCAGTCACATGGCAATAATGTCAAACAGCTGAAAATGCAACGTTTCATCAGAAAATGCTGCCAACAATTCATCCCAAATATTTTGCACTCAAATTTTTGTCATGTTCATAAAAATATATTTTTTTTCCAACCTCAAAAATCAGGAGTGGCACGATTTGCAAGGTACCTTTTTATTTTTTATTTTTATTTTTTTCCTCTGCCACAAGAGGACTGGGAACAGCATTAAAGTACCCAGGCTAATGCCAGCTGTAGGAGTGTGGAGGAGAGTATTCATGGTGAAGATGTCAGGCCTATATTCTCTAGTTGGTATCCCTGGTAAGGGACAGTGATGACAAAGTCTTATGGCCAAAACCAGTCTCTTGATGGATGAGTGAGGTGGCCCAGTGAGGCCACCAACACCACTGGGTGAAGGTCCCCAGACCCCAGGAGTCTGGGTGGAGGTGGCATAGGGCTGGTCTGCTTTAGGCTCTGCTGCATCCACCAGCCCCCTGCCTGTCTCCTGCCTGTGGCAGGGCAGAGGGAAGCAGCAGAGCAGCCCCAGGCTGGGACAGGATGGTGGTTTGCTGTTTGGTCTTCATGGGCTGGGTGGGATGGTGTAGGGAGAGGTCAAGATGCACTCATTATTTCTGCTTGTGCATGGGCTGAACAGAGTCCTTCCATTGCATAGGGAAGGAACTGCAACAGTTTGCTGCTGTTCCCTCCTTTGCTAACCTGTGACCAAGTTTGGGTAATTCAGAAAAAATTCAGAAAATCATGAGATAACCATAAAACCATGACACTTTTTTTTTAACTGGTATCACCTTTCCTCGCCTTGAGCTTACAGACTTTCCTCTGCAATGGTGTGGGTCTGAAACAATTTTTTTATGAAGTGTTAGAACCCAGTGCAAACTTCAACACCCAAAAGCTGGGGCTTATAGCTACCCTCTCCACCATTATTGTGATTTTACCACAAGTCTTGCAAGTGTTAGCAACACTGCCTGCACTTCATCTGTGTCCATTCTGCATGTGATGATTGTTAATTCACATATTTTTCCACCACGCTCGAGATCCTCCAGGCAGATTTCTTCATCACCTATTTTCTACTTAGCAAACTGTACTCTTTATTCCAGTTCTCTGCTACTACGAAGCTCCCTAAGATGCATCCTATTGCTGTGGTAAGCTGGGTTTAGCCATTGATTAGGAGTCTCATCAGATGCCGAGAGATGCTCTGCTCTTTATTGCTTTATGTTTGATTGCTGTAACTTGTATTTCAGAAACAGATTTTTCTTTTTGACTGCTAAGTCATTTCCCCGCTGTTTAAAATTCAAGCATCTTTTCAGGCATATGTGCTTTTAAATCATTACAGATTAGCCTTGGGAAAGGTCCCTCCAACACAGCACAGCCCTATCTAATCAGGATAGAACAAAAGATTGTGATGCGAAAAGTCTCTTCATTCAAAGGTGGTGGGTTTTTCTGGTCTTTTGACTTTATAGGGGGAATACCTTGTGCTCTTGCCTTACAATCTGCAAAGTATCTCTCTTCTTGGGTCTTTATACATCACAGCAAGACATCTGATGTTTCTTCACCCTCAGGTAATATGCTCGGTTGGCTTCTGGATAGGTGACTTTGGAGAGTGGTAGCTTGTAGATGGCAGAGTGGTTTGTGGTTATTAACAGGAAGGTCAGTGCAGATAAGCAGAAAGACCAGGTTCCTGATGGCACCCCAAACTGCAAATTAAAACCAAATCCCATATTTACTATATACTTGTCTTTTGTTTGGCCCATCAGCAGTCCTGAAAAAAAAAAAGACTCAGAGCCAGGCAGCTTCTAATAAATAAGCTTTCTCAAAGAAGTCTGGACTTGGTTTTGCAAAGAGGATCTCCCTGGAGAAGCAGAATTTGGGATCTTGACATTATGCATTAACCTGTAATGTCTACTGGCTCTGGCGAGAAGGATGCCTCCTGTTTGTGCATCTGCAGAGATTTTGAATGGAGCTGAGGTGGGAGTGGATACAGAAACGTTTATCTTTACCCTGGGCTGTTGCTCTGACTGCCTTTTAACACTTCAGCAAAGGAATTAAACCAAATTTGAGGCTTTGTTACCCATGTGGAGAGATCTTTTCTCAATCACTTCAGGCAGAAAGTATAGCCATGTAATTATTTCAGAGCTGTTGAGGGCAGATCTATGGAAGTTTGTGCAGGCTCATAGGATAAGGAGTAGTAAGTAATGACTGCAAGTGCCATGTTTCAGTGGGAACCACACCACCCCCTGGGCGGATTGTGTTCCCTCACCCAGCTCTGCCCTGCCTTTGGCTGAGTTGTGCTCTGAGACTCGATGTTTTGCCTCAAAGCGTGTTCAGTGAAACAAGCCTTTAGCTAATAAACTACTTACCACAGACAACATGTTTGTCATTGTTGCTCCCAGATAGGCACTGAAGAGCGCTGTGGAAAAGAAAGATAATTCTTGGTGAGTTCTGTTGCTCTCAGCATGGAGGAGAAACATCTCTCACACTGCCTTGGGTAGGTCAGGCACCACTTGTGACAATGCCTGGGCAGGCACCTCTTAAAGATCTGTCCTTTGCACAGTGTACCCTCCAACACCTGGAGCCCATGGAAAGGGCAAAACAAAAAAGATTGAGTGGTAAAAAGTGTGACTATAGAAATAGAGGCTCTTGAAACATGTATGGAAAGTAAGTAGGTTGATGGATGGAGTTAAACAGGAAAATAACCCTTCCATCTCTCCTGCCTCTAGGGCTAGAAGGGGGGTCAATGAGATACAAAGCTAAATCTTTTTTATACGCACACTGAATGAGCAATAGTTTCACTCCCAGCTCCCTGTGATATTGAAATTTCATATGGAATTGCCTTATAAATAATTCTTCAATCATTCTGCATTGCTTAGCTCATGCCTCTGGTATCCATTTCCACAGACTGGGGAAGCTGTGTTGTCTATTTCCAGGTTCTGATTCATCTTGGGCTCCAGTTTTCTTAATGTACACAATTAATTTTGAAGCTAAGTACCTGATTTCAAATATATTAGTTAATCCACTGGTCGCTTCTTTTGTTTTGAGCACAGCTCTTGGCTGGAAGTCAAGGCACTGCTTTTATTTTGTCAGGGTGCGTTAGAGCAATAGCTCCAACATCTGCCTCAGTCCTTCGTCAGTCTCACCCGAGTCCATCTGCCTGCCTAGAGTTGGCCATCTGGCTTCAGCCCACCTCTAGCAGCAACACATCTTATCTTGTTTCAAAGGGAAGTATGGCAGCAGGGAAAATCCATAGGGTACGTACCACAGGCAATTGCCAGCAAATGTGTCTGCCAGGTGAACGCGTAGAACATGCCTCCGATGGCGATACAGGAGAGAGAGCTGTTGTAGCTCCACAAGCCAGAGTAGATTTTGCTAAAAGGTGTTGCTAAGCTCAGCGCTGCAAAATAAGTCAAAGATGTGTCATTCCTTGGCCAAGGAGATAAAAGCAGCTGAGAAACGGCACAAACCCAAGTTTTTGAGGGCTGAAGCCTGCATGTGTACGCTGAGTTCCTGCTTGTGGTCATGTTGCCATGGTCTAGGAGTAAAGCTTTTCAGTCTAATGCAATCACTGCAGACTCTCCCTGGTGCTGCTGAGCTGAATTTGGCCTCACGGTTTCACCAGAAGATATATGAGTGAGCAAGTGTACGTTTGAACTCTGAATGCGTCCCTGAGGCCTGCACATTCAGACTCGTGGCAATGGCTTTTATTAAGCTGCTCCTAAAAGCATCCGAATATATCCAGAAATGAAGTATTTCAGGATAGAAATTCATTTCAGCCAAAAATGCATTACTCTCCTCTGAAGGTTTCCGCTGTCATAAAATGAGGTAAGAGAATGCGGAAGTCAATCAAAAGAATTCTTAAAACAGAAGTGGGTATTTTTTTTTCAAGCAGCCATTCTCCAATGGAAAACAGATTTGTGACTGTAAATGTTCCAGTCCCTCCACTTCCTCCTTTATTCTCTGTAGAAAGCTGTGACACAAATCAAATCCTTACCTGCCAGCATCCCCACTGCTGATCCAATTGCCGCGTGCAGACAGATGAGTGGAGATGAGATAAATACAGCAAGCAGGAAAATTCCCCCGGTCCAGGGGTTATCGCAGCCATAAACCTGACCCACCCCGACTGGAATGGATTGCAGTAGCTGTGTGAATGGGGAGGAAAAAAAAAAAGGCAATTTGTTATCCACTTTGGTGTTTCATTTTGTTTTAAACCTAGTTTTGTTGGCTGCTTTCAACCTAATTTGACTGAGTTATAGAAGTTGTGCTTGTTTCAGGAGGTTTTGTAAAAATAGTGGCTTGGATGGGAGGAAAATGATGGACTAGAGTGGTCCATACCAGAGGGCTGTGCCCTCCCCTTAGACAGGTGAGAAGAGCCCAATTTTATTGCAGCTATAGAGATGGTTTTGAGACACTTTTCCCCAAAATGTTCTGTCCCACCCATATGGAACTGTTCATTTTTGGTCCCCATAAAACTTTGTGTCATGGTAAAGGTTCTTTTGGAAATGCTACCAGAGTGGATTGCTATTCAGTGTCAGTTACCTTCCTTAATCACACCTGGGAACCCTTTAAAATAGTCCACCGAGCCTTAGGGGAAAGCGCTTACTGTAGTGTCTGTGCCGCTTACTGTGCTACACAGGAGAATAAAGTGTTTCTTTGGAAAGGTCCCACCTGAATATTAACTGAAAGTATGTGAACATATGCCTGCACCCAAGTTTATAACAATTTTGTCGTGGTAATACCTGCTTGCTCATTCCTTATCTGAAAGACCGTGCTTTGATGCATTTTTAAACACCCTTTCTATGTGGAAAATTGAAAATAACCTATGAGTCAACTGGTAGCCTCAGCGTAGCCTTAGCTATGGAGTGGTGAGCAATATACCCACTGCAATGGAAAATGAGGCTGCAGAGGCTTTTTGAAGTTGGTAATATTTGATAACATTTAGATACAGCTGTAAACAAAAGATACCAAACCAATTCTCATTTTCAAGCAATCCAAAATATGAATACCTGGAGTAAACCCTTATAGATTGGATAATAGCTGTTTTATAAATGCAATGTTTTATAAATGCAATTCTACCATTGACATTTCAGCTTCTGTCCAGGTGATGTTTGGTGTTGCAGTTGCAGGCTGAATGACGGTTGTAGGGAAGAAGAGGTTATAGGGTCCTGATGCAGCCAGATAGAGGGTCAAGGCCAAGTTGAAAGGCAAGGTGAAAACAGGCAGATCCCACTTACAGAAGACTGAGCCTAAAGCGCTGGTGAAAACAGGGCTGAAAGAAGAACAGAATGGTCTCACTAGGAGCTCAGCAAACTCCCTGCCCTCCACATGTCAGTTAGCACTATACTGATTCCTGCTGACTTATTCCATATGATACATAGTGAATTTGGTGACCCTAAGGGGTCCAAAATGTGGAGGATCCAGAGAGGGAGTTATTCCCATGCCTGTCTCAGTGACTTAGTGACTGAATACAGGACACCAGTGCCAGGTCTAAGTGACCTGGAAGGAAGGCTGTGTGTCCTTGTTCAAGCTTATGGATCAGGATCATCAGAAGTAAAGGCTGACATCAAAGGAATGATTATTAAAATGAATATATCAGTACATGGACTTCAGACAGACAGATGATATGCATGGTCTAGCAATCTCCAACTAGATATTAGGGGACCAAAGACCAGCATTCAAAAATTTCAAGTGTCCAAATACCTAGCAGATTACGGTGTTGTATGAGTAAAGTATTATTGCTTGTTTGTTTTCATTAGCATCGACCATCATGTCTTGAGATCACTGAGCAGCTTTTGTGCCCAGAGAGGTAAATTTTCGTGACACTTTTATATGGTGGCCTAAATAGATGAAATGCTTGTGGTTGATGATGGCAGGGAATGCTTCTCTTGAGAAAAACATGAATTAATGCGTCACGGCAATATGGCTAACATTAAGGGCATTGAATTACATACGATCAACCATCAATTTTCCTTTTATCCATTTGGTTTGTTTGTGTGATTATGTGAGTGTTTTATTTGTTTTGGGATTACGTTCAAGTTTAAAAGTGCAAATAATTATCCAGATTTAGAAGCATGTACATGCCAGTTATGTTTCTTTTTTATTGTAGTCTGTATAGCACATAAAAATACAGTGGCTCAGTCTCAGTGAGGAAACACTGGGACTGGAGTAAGAAGCAGTAGAGATGTCTCGCTTACCACATCATGGACACCAGTGCTACTGGCAGTAGAAGCCACCAGTGATAGTCTCCCTTAGCAGAGAAGACTGCCATGAGCAGTCCCACCAAGACCCCGTTGTAGCCATGCAGACCTGCTGCTATGGCTCCTCTGTGGGAAGAAAATAATTGTCTTGAAATCTCCCCTACAGTTGCTTTGAGTGCATTGTCCCCTCTCTTTCTTCCTTCCTCCCCATGCAGATGTGACTTTGTGTGATGATGGCCTGCCAAGTCGTGCACTGACTGACCTCCAGTTTCACACTGGCTAGAGTCCTGTGTCCCCTCAGAACCAACTACTCTTTCTGCAGTTATCACAGAATGGCTTGGGTTGGAAGAGACCTTAAAGGTCACCCATTTCCAACCCCCTGTCATAGGTAGGGATGCCACCCCCTAGTTCATGTTGCTCAGGGCTTCATCCAATTTGACCTTGTTCTCCTCCAGGAACAGGGCATATGTTCAGTGGTAGGGTTGTGTTCAGTGTCCCTGTGGACCAGATGCAGCTGGTGCTGGTGGGAAGACCTGTCTGTCTCTAACAGCTCTAGCTAGGGCTAAATTCATGCTTTTCATCACTGCTGCTTATTTAACATATGGCAGTTTTGTTTTGAAGGGGCAAAGGATGGACTTACCTGTCCTGGCCCAGAATAAGTGCTGTTAAGGTTGAGACCACTGTACCTAAACAGCCTGTGAGTGTCCACCAGGGGTTCTGTACCAGGAAGCCAGCTACTACAACAAGCCCACTGAGGGGATTATTGACAAACATCACCTGGGATATCCCACGCAGCACCCAGTCGATAAATTGGATCACAATAGGCTTGTCTGGAAGAGATCAAATTAAGCAATAAGTATAACTAAAAATGCACAGATGTGACTGATTTGGGATAGGTTTTTTTTTTTTTTTTTTTTTTTTTTTGAAACTCAAAAACAATTTTGGCAGTGGAACTTGGCAGCATGACTGAAGCAATGAATCAACAAGACTGTAAAACCTGACTGGGATTTATTATGGTCTATATTGAAGTCTTGCAGCTGGAAAGCTGAGATGAACAGTGTGGTTGCCAGAGTCCCCTGTTGTAAAGTACCCCAGACCAGCTTCGTATGAACTGGCTAATTTATGACGTCTGTGCCTCAGATGGCAAATTGTGTGTGTATCCTGTTGCTGATTTATTATGGGGACCAAACACACTTACCTGTGTGTAATTTAGCTTCACAGTGGCATTAGGCTTGACAGAAACTGCTCAGCTGATAGGGGAGGGAATGTTATGAGGAATGGCAGAGCACGGAATAACCATCCCAGGTTACGTTCTGTGGGACTAAATTCAGTTTGTACATGGCGTGTTGGGAGGTAAATGTCACCTCAGCCATCCTCAGGATTTAAGCAGTATGTGGCTCTGCAAAGAAGCTGAACTTTACTCACTAAAAAGACATAAATCAAGGCAGAGGTTGTTTCTGTTCTACTCCAACTTGAATCCTATTACTGAGAAGTTAGTTATTACTCCTCTGGCATAATTCTTCTTTGGAATCCCCTTATTAATTATGGTGAAGTAGCTTTACCTCTTAGCCAGGCTCCAAATTCCTTCATGTCTCCTGTGATGTACCCAACAGCTCTGCAGATTCTCTTCCCACCTTTGCTCAAGGGACTTTGCTTTCTTGGTTTTCTTTCCCCGTTATTTTCTATCTTGACATCAACACTGTTTTCCATGGTGAGGTTTTGACCCTGTGGTGGAATTCAAGAAAAAACAAACACGTTCATTACGATGCCTCTTACTCATCCCTGCATATTATTGCTCATTGCCTGTTATGCTGGAGCCTGAAAGAGGAAAATCCTTAGTGTTAAAGCATGATTCCTGTGTCTCCATGAGCACGTCCTCTCCTTGTGCTCTCTTGGGGACCTGTACTGTCCTTCCAGATGTTCATGCAGCTGTAGATTTGAATACCAGGAGGAACCCCCAAGCCTTGTATCATAGTGGTGGTTCACCTGATTTTAACACCCTGATCAGCTGTATCACATTTTCCAGAAATCAAGATGCCCTTGATGTAAGGGCTGAATTCAAGAGCAGGGTGGCATTGCCAGACACTGGCTTCACAGAAGTGGAAGCACACCTCAAAATTCAGCTTGGTCAGAGATTTTCCCACACCTGAGAAGCTGCTTCAGTGATTGATTACATTTTCCCTGCTGCTTAACCTGTACTTCCAGTTTGAACTTATCCATCAGCCATTGACAATGGGTCCCTAACGTTAGGTTTACGGGGTGTAGGTTTATGCCTCTATATAAGCACGATGGTGATCAGTTCAATCTTTCTCACGGGTATGGGCTCAGCTTATGGGTTGTTCACGGAGCCTTACTCTGTTATGCATAGGCTGACACGCGTTGTTTTCTGCTCCACTGAATTTTACTTTTAGCTGCTCTGTCTTCAGAAGTACCCAGCGCTGATTTAAGAAATTAGAGACCATGCTGAGAGTGCTTGCTCTCTGATCTGCTTTCTCTCTGCCCCGTAACGTGCTAGGTAGTCTGCACCAACCTTTCTTCATCAACATAAGACAAGATAGGTGAGCACAGCCTGCAATAAGAAACCCTCAGGGAGTAATGAAAAGACTTATTAAATTTAGTACACATTGTATCAAGCCCTAAATAAGGTAGGAGAGCACTAAATAGAGGTGCTTTGGCCTAGATGAGGTGTTTGGGGCATCCACATGGGGCTGGCACATATGGGGTGCCATATGGGAGGTATCTTTCAGATCAGGAGCTGCTGCAATGCACTGTGGCACCTCTTACAGCTCTAGACAGCTTCATTCAGGTACGTGGGTCAGAGACTTGCATCTAACTGAAAACATTGTTGTGTTTTGTTTTTTAAAAAAAGACTTGTGGCTGGTTTGTTATTTGTTTAAGTGCCAATTCTCAATATGAAGGCAAAAAATTAAAAACAGTCAAACCTTTCCCTGGAGTGCACTCAGTTTCCTGAAGAGTAGGACTAAATCTGGGTAGTTATCAAGACAAAGAAAACACAAGATGAGGTACTGCTGTTGAATGAATAGAGAACCAGAGCTGCTTTGGTTCTCCCCAGTGAGTAACAGCTTGTGCAAGAAGTAAAGCACTTAGGCTGTGGGTTAGTAGCCTAAATAAGATGATACCAGCACGTAAGTCTTGCAGTTAGTCCTCGACTCACTTGTGACTTCTTGGCAGCTGGGGAAGAGAATTCACGCCTCAGAAATGCAGGTGCTGAGTAGTTAGGCTGAGGCAGCCTCTCCCCTGGGCATTACCCTGCAGACCTCGGTGTGTGGTGAAGCAGCTCGGAGTCTGGCTGTGGGAATGGGTGCACCCCAGCCAGTCCCTTGCTGTGTGTTGCTGGAGGGCTGATAGCGACATTTCACCAAGTAGTAAATATTTGCAGAACTAATACACAAAAATAAGCATTTTATGTCTTCTGGGAGGGCCCAGCTCATGCAAGGATGTGTGAAAGTGGCTGAAGGCAGGGCCAGTATGTAGAAGAGTGTGGAATCTGCACTGGGACAGGGCACAAAGGCAAGGAGCTTAGCTAGAGGAGAAAGAGAAGAAAAGGATGAGAGCATTGTTAGGGACAGTGTCTTGGTGCTGGAGGGCTTTTTCCCAGCTCAGTTATAATTCATTACCTTGATTCATTAACCTTCACTTTTCTCATATTTTATTCTGAAATAATGGAATAAGTGAATTGGATGCACTTTCAGTTAAATCAAAATTTCCAGCCAAGATAAATGCTCTTCATTTGGTGAAAGTGCATTTACATTTTCAATTTAAAGAGTCTTCCTCTTTGTGGAATTTTGGTTTTCTCTGTAGCTAATTCCTAAAAACAAGACTGTTACAATTGCATTTGTAGAGAGCTGCTGTGTGTCCAGTGCTAGCATTCCTGAAATGCTTCTCTGCATGCTGAGCAAGGAGGTTTTTTGCACCACAGTAGTCTGGAGATGTTCTGGGACATAATGTATGTGCACAAGAAGTGTTGGAGCCACTGTCTGCTCTGTTCACACAGTGGAAAAGGGGGTTGTGTTGGAGACCCTAGCTCATCAAAACACATACCCCACAGGAATGCCCTAAAATGCCTGTTTAACTTCCCAGAGGAGCTACATGAATTCAGTGCTTTACTGTGTCAGGGCCAGAATGAATAGGAATGAAAAGGACTTCTCCTGCAGTGAGAGTCTGAGCTTCATTCCTTTCTTATGCAAAGGAATTTTTACCCTGGCATATATAATAATTGCGTGCTCTGAGCCCCTCTGAGAAGCAAAGCCTTCTATCTGTTATCGAGACTATTTGGCATTGACGTGGGCTGAGCAGCTGGCGTGGATACAGTATAAGGCAGCACTGCGTGGTGCAAATCTGAGCCTGGGGACTCCTTCGCTCTGTGTTTTCATGGCCAGAAATGAATTCAGCTCAATGCGCTTGGCATGGCAAAAAGGCCAGGTGAGTCACTCCCACCACCCTGGCCTGATCTGTACCCTTGATGAAGGCTGTGTGCAAGCCCTGTGTATTTGTTCTTCCAGAATATTTACAACTGGAATGCTCTGGGGGTGATCATGGGCATCTCTTGGTCAAAATCATGTCATTTTGTCCCTGTCTACCAAGTGACGTGTCTCTCTAGAGTGGGCTATTGGAGGGATAACATGGACATTGATTCATCTTCCCTGTGACATAATATATGCTACAGTGGAAGAAAATCACTGTGAAACCCCACCATCACCTGCAGAGCAGCTCGATATGTAATCACTAGCACACTGGTTGACAGGTGGGATCTTTGTGACAGCATAAAGTTCCAGATCCAGGCCTATTGGCCTCACTGCTATCCTGACTCACACCCCAGGCACAACGTGCTGGCAGCCTCGTGCTGCATCAGCTCATTTTGCCCACGTGGAAACTGGCACCGGCTGAGGTAGAAGAGTATTTCTGGAGCCACTTTAATTACTTGTGTCACTATAAGAAGCACTTGCTGCCCTGTGTGTCCTGACTAAGGTCTGTTAATGCATTACCTTGTTTTATGGAGTAGGCAAAAGCAGCTCTTTAAGAAAGGATAAAGGTGTCTCATCCCAGAATCATGGGGATGTTCAAGGAATTTTAAGACAGTGATGTCCGAATTTTAATTTCAGATTAAAAGTGTGTGTTCTGATGGGGATTGCAAGAAATGCAGTCTGCGGCAGGTCTTTGGAAGACCTGCCATTGGAGTTAACGTGGTTTCTAGTCAGGGATATTTTTTTCTTAGTGCACAAGGAAGGAAAATGGAAATAACTGTGAAAGGACTGTTCTGCTGGAACAGTGCTTGACTTCTGCAGGGGGGAGGACTTTTTATTGCTGTTTTTTTCATGCCTTATTTTCATTAGTCTGGGAAAATGGTTTTCGATCCCAGATTCTTAAGACCATAGGTTCTGCTCTCGAATGCACAGCATGAAGTGCACTGTGTGCTCTCATGAGCTCTTGAGGGAGAGGTGCTCCAGACATGCATTTGGTAGGAAATTCAGTGTCGGCTCCCAGTGCTGGTGTATTAACAGCAAGTACTGATTTGTGCTCTGTTATAAGTGCAGAGTAACTATCTAAAACTCTTTTCCTATGGTGTACTGCTCTGGGTGAGAGCTGGATTTGGTGCATTTATGCTTCTCCCCAGTGATTTGAGATGCTTGCTGCCTCCCCTTGCCTAGAGGTCTTTGTGCTGCTGGGTAAAGGTCTCACTGCCATTCTTACTACAAATTTTGCAGCTGAAAGCATCTAAGTACTTTTGTATTGGCTATGAAGTGAACCCCTGAGATTAGGAAAAAAAAATCTTTTGCATGAAAATGAAGTCATCAGAGGGCCAGGAAACATTTTTTTTTTTTAAATCATTTGAGAGTTAATGAATGTCCCGTAGCAAAACACTGATGTTATGCAACTTCATGTCTCCCTAAGTCAATTTCTCTTCCCCTTGTGTGTATTCCTTCCATGTCACGCCACACCTGCGGCATCTCAGCAATGCCTCATTAAAACTGCAGCACAGCAGTCTCCTTGCTGGTGCTGCCCTCCTGCAACATCTGGCCTGCAAACAGGTTTCTATTCACTTGCTGACACGGTCACTATGTGTTATGTGTGGTAATAGTGGTGCTGTGAGTGCAGCTGGGAAAGGGACAGAGGTTTTTATTTGGCTTAATTGTTTTTGGACTCACAGGTAATAGTTATTTCCAAATTGGTGCCTGTGTTGCTAGGCGTTGGGTTTTATCTCAGAAAATGCAGCAAAATTATCTGCTGTTTTCTCCTCTTTCTGTGCTTTTCCTCTCTCCCTGACAAAATTCAAATTCCTCTGTAAATGAAGGGGATTTAAATTGCTGAGTGGTATTTGTGTGTCTAAGGAGCTGCTACCGCACAATTACAGTCATTGTGCCTTGCATTCACCAAATTGCTGCCGTGCAGTGTGCAGGCAGCCAGCTCTGTGTGCAGCATGTTTTTAAAGGAATTCCTGCATCCGAGCACAATAGGAGGAAAGGGCCAGATCCTCAGCAGCCCTGATTCCAGCCTAGCCTGAGTAATGTTACCAGGGGCTTAATAAAGCTGGGTAAGTGTTGTGTTATGTATAGGGACACATGACTGCACAGGCACACTCCCTGAACCAGAGAGATTATAATGCACTTGACCCTCACTGAAAAAAGTTCAGGTTTTCCCACAGAAGACACATTTCAAAGCAATAGTTCAAAAGGAAACTCATCCCTCAGATTCAAATATTCATT